CGGAGGCCGGCGAGCCTGCCCCGCACACACACCGCACCCGCAGCCGCCACACCTGTGCAGGAGTCCGCGTGCGCCCCGCGGCGGAGCGCGCAGTGACCTCTTTACATAAGCCCAGGCCGCGTCGCGCCCCGCGGGGGAGGGACAGGGCACCGCAGGAGCCGCTCGCGGATCCACAGGGTGGGGAAAGCGGGGCACCGAAGCCAGGTACCCAGATGACGGGACCAGACTCCCTCCGGTGTGGGGGCGGGCGTTTGTGAGTGTTTGTTTTGCATGGGGAGGCGTGGAGTCCAATTACCCAGTTTATCACGTACGCAGACCCAGTTCGTGACAGCCTGGCTGAATACTTGCCTTTGTTTGGGGGGCGGTATTATCTTATGGTTTAACCTCATAGAAACAAGTCGTGTGGGCGCGACACTCGCAGACCTGACACGGGTACATTTAAACACCCCGTGGGCAGAGACCTGCTCACATAAGCTTAACTTACATTTCCCTGCCCGTCCCAATAGACATATCCACGGAGAAACTGACAGATGTACAGATGTGCAGACACACAACGAAGACACAGGGGCAATCTCCCCACCCCGCCTCCTTCTGCAGCTCGGTCTCGTCATCAGCCCGGCACCGGCACCACTGCCCGTCTTCACGCAGCTCAGAGTGGAAACCTGCTTGCCGAGGCTCCAGCCCACAGGGCTGGTAGTCGTTTCAAGACACCCTCTAATAACCTCTCGAGGACAGTATCCTCTCGTAACTCAGGTGCCCATGACACCAGTCGGCCACCTGGTCTGGGGCACTGCTCAGCCTGTGGGGTCCTCCTTTTATCTGGTTCCGGTGAGTATAGCCAAGTTTCAAAACACCTAGGCTTGGTAGACTGATCTGGGTTTGATCCTGGCTCTGAAAATTATGTAACTGCTTTGAGACTCAGTTTCCTTAATTCTTTTTTTTTTTTTATTAATTTGCCAGCAGATGCATACCCTCATGAGAGAAAGGGAAATTGAGAAGGTACCCTCCTCCCCCATAAGGGATGGTCACACTGCAGTCCCTTCTGCATTTTTCCATCCTGATTGAATTTTGGCCACCAACGCATACATGCCCAGCGTGTTTTTAAAGCCATAGGGGCTGGGATTTGAACTGTGTCTGGCCATGAGGGATCCTGTTCCCTTAACCACTGGCCCTAAAGCTAGCCCTTTAGGTTGGCCCTAAAGCCAGACTTTTTACTTTGAGATAAATTATAGGTTCACATGCACTAGTAAGAGTATCTTTCACACAGTTTCCCCCAATGGTAACATCTTAGAAAACTATAGAACAAAACCACAGCCAGGGTATACGGAGGGAGTATCCCCAGGAGGACAAGAATCCCTCCTGTGATCCTTTGATGCCCACACCTACTTCTCTCCTGCCCCTTTCTCCCTAACCTGTGGCAATCACTATTCTGTTCTCCATTTTTATCATTTGTATTTCGAGAACGTTATAGAAATAAAATTGTACAGTATGTCATCTTTTGAGATCGGCTATCCTCTCTCCCCAGCATAATGCCCTGAGATTCATCCAGGTTGTTTCAAGATCAAGAGGATCATCCCTGTTCATTTCTGAGTAGCGTTCCACAATGTGGATAGATCCTTGTAAGTTTTTGTGAAGATTAAATGAGACGGTGTGTGTAAAGCATTCAATAAATCTTCTGACATATTGCAAGGGCCTAGTGCATTTGTGTGTGTGTGTATTTGCCAGAGGGGCACGCACTCACCAGAGAGAGAGAGAGAGCCCCCCCAAGACGGCATGGTCAACATCACCATTTTTCCCTCCTCAGTGTTTCTGTGTCCCATTGGGATTTTAGGCGCACACACACATCCCTCACATGATTTGTGTCAAGCTGCCAGGGCTGGAACTTGAACTGACAATGCCATGCGGAATTGAGTTTCTATGCACAGCACTTAACTGCTGCACTATGGGCTGACCCTCTATTAATACCATTCTGACCAGGGCCAGCAAGTGGTGTGGATGTTAAGACGGCTAGATCCCCCAGGGCCTAGAGTAATTCAGATCTAAGACCCAGTGGCCTAGAATGGAGAGGGAATTGTGGCATGTCTATCTTCCCTCGGGGTGACTGCTCACTTTATCTGTCTCTCTCTCTCTCTCTCTCTCTCTCTCGGTGCCATGCACATACACCCTCTAGCAAATGAGCACAAACAAAACATCCCTACCATTACTGCTATCAACAAAACCAGCAAAAAGTAAAACAGAGAGCAACCATATTCGCCTTCCACTTAAGAACGACTTCCTGAAAGACTGGAAGTCACAGTTGACAATAGGCCCATGTTAATATTTCAAGGTCTTGGCTTTAAAAATCCACTGTTTTTGGGACCAGCAGTTGGCATAATGGCTATGTCGCTGGACTCCATGTAGTCGACCATGGTTCGAGTTCCGGACCCAGGGGCTTAAACTCACAACGCGCATGTGTGCGTGCTTGCCCAAGATCCCGAGAGGAGAATGGAGGAGAAGGGATTGCGGCATGGACATCCCTCCTGGGGCGTGATTTCTCTCTTTCTATGGCTTTATCTGTCTGGCGAGTGCACGTGCCCTATAGCAAAAACCTCTCAAAATAAAATAAAATAAAAACACTTAAAAAACAAACAGTAAACGTTCACTGTTTTTCTTCTTTGAATTCTCAGTACTTAAAAAAAATCTGCACCTCAGAGCTTACACAGAAGGTAGCTGTGGTTTCTCTATTCAGTAAGAACTCACACATTCTGAACAGACGTGGTCTGAATAATGAAGTTTCACAGGAAAGGGAAGCATTTTCTTTTCTTCCTAGGGGTCCCAATCTGCCCGAAGGGCTAGGGACCAAACCTCGACCTCAGCTTCAACTGTCTTGGAAAAATCAACACGGGGTAATCAGGAAGATAGAAAGCCACCAAATTTCCTCAAAGAGACTGGGGGGGTTGGGGGGGTCCCATCGTTGGCCCTTTTGCCAGCTGAGCCTTCTAACAAAGCAGTGAAACTTTTGGGCCCCCAATGTCCTCAGTTGGGGCAGCTTCAAAAGCAGGTATATGGAGTTCCATGCCACTGTGCGTTTGCATCACTCAGAGAGCAAAACAAAGCCCTTGTTCACCCATTTTCTTATCATTTTAAAGCAACCCTGGAGGAGTTTGTCAGGCAGGCCTCGGCATCCACTTTCTATGAATGAGGAATCTGAGACTAAGCAGAATGAAGCGACCAACTGAGCCATGCAAGCCGTTCAGGGTGAGTCCAGGGATGCATTCCAAATCAAAGGCTCTTTCCGTTTATTATAACTAAATCACAAATGAAAGAATGGTGCATTATTGAGGAAGCCAAGCTTTTCTACTCTTTCCTGGTTCTAGGTTTTGTCCAGTTGCAGTACAGAAAAGATCCCAGATCCCCAGAGAGGTTCCAGTGAAGGCCCATGCTGTGTGCCAGGCAGCAAGTGGAATCCAGCCCCAGCCCAGGCCCGCATTGTAACCTAGAGCCCGTGTCCTACAAGAACCGCCCTCCACACAGATCATGCAATCAATCTTGGGACCTGGACCGTTGGAAAAGTACTAAGAACAGAATGCCTTCCAGGTCATGGCCTAATTACTGTTCCGGAAGTCCTGGCTTCTCTCCATCTCTTCCACCTCTTCCCTGTGGCTCATCCTCCCAGCCAGGTGACATCTTTTAGTCCTTCATTGAGTGCACATTGAGGAAGCTTGTAACCTAGCAACCGCCACTTAAGATTCCCTGAGTCACCTGCAGTTCCATGGCTGGACTGAGTACACCAAGCTGGGGCCTTGGGAGTGCCAAGTGGAGGGTGAGAGTCCAGTGACTCTGGTCCCTCAGCCCACATTCTAGTGTGTAAGAACTCACAGTCAGGAAGTCCTTCCTCAGGTCACACCAAAACTCTTCTTGTATTGGGTGTGGGTTTCTCTTCTCTTCTAAAAAGTACATGGGGGAGACAGCAGGTGGTGTGGTGGTTAGGGCACTGGACTCTCACATGACTGACCATGGTTCAAATCCTAGACCTGGTGCTTTGCTTTCTTGCTTTCCCTCTTTTTCTCTCTTTCCATCTCTCTCCAATAGCTACAACAAGTTAAATAATAGTAATAATAATAAATAAAACAAATAATTACTTTAAAAAGTGCATAGGGGTCAGCAGGTGGCATGGTGGTTGAGGCTCTGGACTCCCATGTGCCAACCATGGGCTGAATCCAGGACCTGGTTGCTTCTTTTTTTGTTTTCCCTCTCTCTCTGTCTGTCTCGCTCTGGTGAGCACACGTGCCCTATAGTAAATTCAAAATAATAATAATTAATAAGTAAATTCTTTTTAAAAAGTGTGTGACCTTTGCTCTGACTAGAGGGTGGAAATGGGAGGGTGGGGAAGTGGAGGAGGGGAGAGCCAGGAAAGTCTCTAAGTATTAGGCCTTGGGGGGCCACATAGTGACATAGCAGGAGCACATCCCTCTGTGATGCTGAGGAGTCTCAGGTTTGCATCCTACGGCCGCCCTGGACATGCTATGGGAGCATGTGTGTGTACGTGTGTGCCCTTGCATGCGCATGGTCTTTGCAGGCGAAGGCAGGGATGGAATGTGAGGTCCCTGTCGGAGCTGCCTTTCACTCTTTTGATTGGAATAAGTAAATAAGTGAACTAAAAAAAAAGATGGGGTGGGCAGGTGGTGTGGTGGTTGAAGTTCTGGACTCCCACATGGCTGACTGCGGTTTGAGTCCCAGACCAGCTGCTTGCTTTCTCACTTTCCCTCTCTCTCTCTTCGGTCAAATTAAAAACTAATAATAATAGGGAACCAGCAGTTAGCGTAATGGCTATGTCCCTGGACTCCCACGTAGTCGACCGCGGTTCGTGTCCCGGACCCGGTGGCTTAAAACTCACGCCGGGCGCGTGTGCGTGCGTGCCCAAGATCCC